ATCTTTGTATACATATGTACGGAGATATATATACCACACACATTTTATGAAGCACAAGTGGATGGATCTAGGACATTTGGAGTTGGGATTGATGTGTCTCAGAACACTTATGGCAGAGTAAGCCTGTTCTCGCTTCTTTTTCCCTGTTACTGCTATTCCTGATAAACATGACATGCTCTCTGCTTACTTCTTATAGATGACATTCACTTCTATGGGCTTTTCTGACCAATGTATGTATTTTGATGTTACTTAAATATTCTTACTTTTGTAACATGTAGCCAGGCTAGAGCTTTCTTTTACTGATGGTCCCCAGGTGGTATATCAGGCTGCAGTACTCTAGAACTCACTCTCTTCTGGTTTGCTGGTTTCTCAGTCCTTAGCTTCTTTGTCAACCTTTTGATACAGGTATTCTGTTACTTTCTCCTTTTGAGAGATGGATTTTGCCATGCGGCTGCAAAAGCACTTCTCCATCTAGAGTTGACCCAAAGATCTCCATGTGGTTTAGCCACTAATTTCTCAAGAATTAAAAGTAAGGATTTACCTCCTTAGGAACACAACATATTGAAGAGAGACCTTCTCTGCTGAGCCTTCTAAGCATAATTTCTCGTCATACTTGTTTCTGGATGAAAGCAGGCAGTAAGTTGTATGCCTGTCTTGCTGTACATTTGTCAGTGCTCTGGATCATTTTTTGATGCGTGTTCAGAATTAACTGCATGGAAGTCTTTGGACATTCAGGACACTGTATTGTTTCTGAAGTGGGGTGGATTTGGCAAAGCTCTGGCAGAAAGTGTTAGACTCAGCATGTCATAAACCATTCATGATATTTATTAATAGCCAGAGCTTAAATTGCCTGTAGTGTGAGTCTTCAGATAATCACTCTGTACTTTACCACAAAATCACTGTAATTAGTGTACTTCACCACAAAATTATTAGGTTACATAATGAGGGTTGTCTCTTTCTCCAGATATCCTTCTGACCATACTTCAGTTTATCTTACAGTTGATATAAAGTCCCTTCTTGCTTGATTCCAGATCAAGTAGATGGTTTCACTCCCTTGACGCACAGCCAGGAAAGCTGTCTTGTTTGCGCTGTGTATAACAGGGTTTTCAGCTCTCCTGGCATACAGTCCTCTGAAGCAGCACAGCAGTCAGCATAAAGAAGTAGCATAAATAAAGTCTTTGAGCAGTGTGCCACTGAATAGAAACACTGAAAGATCTTGGAGATAAATGGCGGGCAAAGAATGCATAATACGTAGCAGAGGCGGTAACTGCTTGCTGTGGAGCATGGAGCTAATGCCACCATCAATTTAATCCTCTGCTTGCATAAGGAAAGGTTTATAAAAGTCACTGGGACTCTTTGGGTATAGCAACACATGTACTTATTTGGAAAGCAATGCCAATTTGAGCAGCTCCTACTCTGCTACATCCTTGTTGACTATGCTGTGAATTGAATCGGGGAACTAATTTTTTTGAAAAATAATTTGGCAGACAGATTTATTTTTAGCCAGGGTCAGTTAGAGTTGTTCAGTGGAAGGGCTGAGACGCAGTGGGAGTTACTGCTGTAGGCTGCAGTGAAAGGAGGGACTGGAGCTTGGCGCTGCTGTTTAAATAAACGTACTGTAACTGTCCTTGGGCTCCACGCTCAGGTTTTATGAGATGGGAGAGAAGCTGCAATAGGGAAGTAGTTCTGTTTGTTAAATAATTAAAACTTATGAGCAACTCAAGTGCAGATAATCTTGCTGACTAATCATTTTTTTTCTTTCTGTTGAGTCATTCTGTTGGCTTAGAGTGATTATGAGTGGGTTTTTTGTTTCTTGTGGGCTTTTGGTGGTGCTTTTGTTTTTTGGAGAGAGGTGCAGATGTGAACCAACACTTTCAAAACTGAAACTGGAAGGAATTGCTATTGGTTAATTTAATTTCTGTATAGGATTGGAAAAGTAGAGAAAGAGGGGAAAACAGCAACCCAGTGTTGCAGCCAAACTGGAGTATTCATCTTCATTTTTCCAGTTTCTTGCATTTCTAAGAATGTGTCAATTCATTTGCTTAGGTCTTATATTAAAGCACCAATGTACTGTAATTGAACAGCATGAATAGTTTCTTTCTATTTCCTTGAGAAAAGGTATCACATGGGATGAATTGTGCCTGTGTTTTTGCTTTTATTCTAGAATAAATGTTGACCAAAATCTGAGAAGTGTTCTCAGGGGGTCTGGTACCTGCAAAAGATTCACTCTTACTTTTTCTCTGATAAGACTTGTTCGGGAGCTTATGTGTTCCTATTATGTTGATCTAAAGCGCTGAAGATAAACAACTGTGCTAGCTGATGACTTACTCAGTAGTCCATGTAGTTTATGAAGCAGGTAAATGAAAATATATCTCAAGTTTTTTTTACTGTATTGTATTTTCTTTGGTAATGAAATTTCTGTCAGCTTGTTGCCAGTTGATACTTGCAGCTTATTGTATCATCTGTGATAGTATATGAATTCTGCATATATTAGTGATGGACTTGGCAGTGCTAGGTTAGCAGTTGGACTCGATGATCTTAAGGGTCTTTTCCAACCTTAACGATTCTATGATTCTATCATATTAAAGTAGCAAGTAAGAGAAGTGTTTTGGACTGCCCAGTCTACACCACCTTTTTATTTATAGTAGGTGTTTAATCATTGGTGGGTTGGTTTTGTTTTTTTTTTTTTAAACCTTTGAAACTGAAGTTTGTCTGGTCTGCTTGAAAAAAAAACCTCAAGCAAAAGAGTTCTTAGTGTTTCCTTTGTGATGCTTTTACAGAGTTCAGTGAATATCTGTGCTGGTTTTGGCTGGGATACAGTTAATCTTCTTCATAGTACCTGGTATAGGGCTGTCCCTGTTGCGATTTCCTCCCTCCCCCCCTGCCCCGTACTTGTCAAATTTTCAGTTTTGTTTCTCAGTTTGTATTCAGTTACTTGACTAATTTCAGAGTACCTTTCCATTCATCCTGACTGAAAAATAAACAGCAAACATGATATGAAAGAGAGCTGGGTATAACTGTGCAAAATGTACTGTTGACTTCAGGAACTCTAAAGTTCTAAAGAGTCTCAATCTTCTGCCTTAATTCTCAGAAGTAACTGAAGGCCATGCTGTTATTAAAGAACAGAAAGAAACCTGTTAAAAATTCAGCATGGCTGTACAAGATTAATATTATGCAGTGGTAAATGTTATGTAAAGGAGTATGTTTTTTTAGAGACCAGAAGATATTAATAGGCTGCAACTACTTTTTGAAAGTTGCGGGCCGACATGTTGCATTATCTTCCCGTAGTGGTAGTTGTGCTTACTAAAATGTGGCTTGTCTTATAAAATATACTCAAGGCCAGCTATGTTAGGATTTCTGTTAGTTCAATTGTACAACTTTATAGTGCGGTAGTAACATGATATATTATAGCATAGCTCATGTGGCTTAACTACATTTAATATTAAGAACTAACAGGAAACCTTTGCATAGGCAGCAAGCTAATATTTAAAAAAAATACAATATTTGTGGCTGAAACTGAAGAGCCATATATTCAATCTGATTATATGTTCATATGAGGATATCATCTAGCAATCATCAAGTGATGCAGGTGATTTAAAAAGAACCCAAAAGTTCAGTAAACATTCATTCTCTGCATCAATTGGCAACAAGAAGAGAAGAATGGTTTAAGAAAAAGCCCATAGCATCTGGTTGGCATCCATTCTCAATCATTTCTGTAATTGTCTACAGTTTAAAGGAACAGGTGATAATAGCTATTGGCACCTTCCAGCATAGGAGTACCCTGACATCTTAGTTGTCCTTTTTCAGGGCTGAGCACGGTTTTGGGAAGGTCATTGGGGCACATCTCTATGGGTGTAGTTCTACAGCTTTGTGTCAGTATGGAGCACAGGCAGAGTGAGAAATAGTTGTTTTCAAAAATTATCATTTACTTGCATTCTATATAAAATGAAGGCACTAGCCTTAAAAAGAGTGGTTTACTTGACAGACTTCAGTAAAATTCTGTAAATGAGTTGGGAACTGTTCTGGCTTTTGTATTTCTGCATGATATTATTTC